GTTCGATGACTACATCAATGATGCCATTGCCGAGATGCGCGCAAAATACTCGAAGTCTCCACAAGTGGTACAATATGTGGAGAACATATGGTTAGGGCACAAGGAGAAGTTTGTGAAAGCTTGGACCAACCAGGTAGCACATTTTGGAAACACAACTTCCTATAGGGTAAAAAGTGTCCACTCTGTGTTGAAGTAGTGGCTTCACACATTCATTGGCGCGCTCGATACAATTTGGCAGAAGATTAATAAGCATATCGATTCTCAATTGACTGAAATCAGGTACATAGTGAAATATTTAACTGTGTTATTATATTACTGCATTAATTATAATCTAATGTTATGTAATGTATTATCAAGTCAGCGCTTGAGGCTTCAACGGTTAAGAAGAGTACGCAGTATAAGGGAATCCTTTTCGCGAGCGTGATACTAAGGGTCTCGCATTACTGCCTGAGTTTATTGGACTCTGAGGTTACGAGGATGCATGACTTGAGCTATGAAGTTTACGAGCGCTGCGGCTGTGAATTGCAAGCGACTCATGGACTTCCTTGTGCCCGTCTGCTCCGTACGGCATATGATTCTAAAATTTCGATTAATCTCGGAATGATTCACCAGTTCTGTAGAACGCTATAGATGTTAGAGCCAGGTAATATAAGATTAATGTTTTATTTATAATTTTCTACTTGTTGTTTCATTTTTAATTACAACTTATGTAATTAAAGTACATTATTTGGTTTAATTCATTGAATTATTTATCGTATACTTATAGGGACGGGTCACCAGAGCCAGGCGAGCATGGGTGCATGGTCAGATGCGGAGTTCTTTCGGACGCTTGTGAATGAGGTTGAAACGGGCGATCCCGCGACGATGCGGTACATGAATCAGTTCATGTACAGTCATCTTTACCCTGACCAACAGGATTATGCAGTACCTAAGGTTTAGGAAAACCCGCGAGGTCGTCCCAAGAAAACCAATTCAACTAAGCGTAAACCATTTTCTTGGGAGTACAGGGATATATCGCGAGGTCAGAAATCGAACCGTACAACCACTTCTTCGCGTGGACAGACAAGCTCATCTTCTCAACAGTCACAAGGGGCACCAGATGATATATTTTTTTGATATAGCTGAACGTTAATTAAAGTATTTATATAATTGTATATATTGTGAATTGAAATTATTATGATATTGCAGAGATTAGACCGACAAATATATTTGATTTTACAATGTGGCAAAGAATCCCATGGTTTATGTTGGACTACGAAGTGAGTTGCCTGAATGTGGAGGCGGATGGGAACTGCAGATTTCGGGTCATCGCGAGTTACGTGTATAGTAACCAGCAAATGTGGCCAGTCATAAGAGGCAACATTGCGAAGGAGATCCAAAGCCACCGTACCTTGTACGACTACATCTATTTTAGGGATATCGATGTCGCACTCATACGAATAAGGTGGGACGGGGGCACTTGTGGACCGGGTCACTGGTTCGAAGTTTCGCAGGACCTCTACCTTGTTGCAACACTATTTAATGCGGTTGTCGTTTTGTTGAGCTCTGGTCCGCGAGGTGGGCAGCACGACATGTACATCATGACAATGTTGCCGCTCTGTGCACGATCGATGGCTAGAGGACCATGTCGTGAGATTGTCATGTGTCATCTTGGTAGTTACGAACACTACATTCGTTTAGTTTTGACTCCTGATTGTCCATTACCACCTATTCATAGAATGTGGTTCACGAACGTATGTTCCCAAGCTATGAGAAAGGCTCGTTCTCCTGAGTCGACCCATCAGGACTCTCAGGAGAACGAGTCTGTCTCGAAGCGTAGGAACATACGTTCGTGTGAGCCGATTGTTTGACTTTGGCGCCGTCCCTACGCTCCACGAGCAAGATCGTGCGACACAGTCAGGACCGATGGATAGACGCCTCTGGGGTCGGAAATTGGGGAAATACTTATATATCCAGGTCTACAGAAGAGCCAAGCAGCCCGACAGTCCACTGGAGTCCCCTCGGTTGGCAATACCTAGTTGTCTGTACAAGTATGCCAGTGTAGCCGATCCCCATGAGTAACCCCAATTGTATCCAAGCTGTCGAGCACCTCGTGCAAGAGCTTGGGGGTCACTCTACTACCACTCTTGCCAACAAACAAGGTGGTAGCCAGCATCACCCACATCCAAGCACCCGCCTCATCCTTAGTCGGTCGGCCTTTCCCCATGAATGCCTCCACAATTGAGACTTCGACCACCGAACCACGCTGCCAGAACGAACTCATGAGTTGACCCTTGGTGACTGAAAGTAACATCATGCTGAGCCCGTCTGAATCCGGGTCCTCAGCGACCATGGCTCCCTTCACATGAACGCCCAAAATGGTGCGGACGTCATGCAGCATGATGCTCATTTCACCAAAAAGCAGGTGAAACGAGTTAGCATCCGGCTGCCATCGCTCCACAAACGCAGAAAGCAGTGGAGTGTCCAAGTGGCTGTGCATGGAGTCCACCAGATGTGACAGCCCGGTGTCTCCGATCAGAGCTTTTGCATCGGGAGACATCTCATCACGCTAACTCCTCAGATTCTCGACCGCTCTCAGTCTGTTCTGGTATTTCAGCATGCCCCTAAAATCTCCACTCCACATGCGGGAGGCGATGTGCCCTAGAAAGCTAGGGATGACACTCCCATCAATGGGCCCACCGGCCACTGTGCCTTTAACGATCTAGGGTGCATCTTTATCGGTCCTAGCTTGTTTGCTAGTACCTGCAATAGAATATAACATATCTGTATATATACACTTGCTGGCAAATGCATTAAATAAAACCTATTTAATAAAACCTATTTTCAATTAACGTAGAAACAGTACATTTTACATTAATAAAGTATAATGACAATTTTAAACTAATTTATTATATAATATTACTACATCTTTAATACAATTCAATAAGTGTCAAAGGGAGAACATTTAGTAGTAGTAGTATGGTAAAATTTAAATATTACTAATTAATGTAGAAACATTATATTTTTTATTATAACAATAATAAAAAAATATTTAAAATACTTCTCTAGCTAATTAAACAACAATAAATACGTAAATTATTTACCTGATGAGAATGCACCGCTACCAAAACGCCCCCCAGCCTTTCGTTGAGGAGCAGCATGTGTAGGACGAACAGCCTGTATAGGATGAACAGCCTGTACAGGAGGGATAGGCTGGTTAGGACCCGTAAGCTGTGCGGGTCGTGTAAAATGCTGTGGTGGGAGCTCCCTCTGGGGGTAGAGCGGGTGGTCCTGATCATGTGAAAGAGTCGTCCTCGTCAGACTCCTTTAAACCCTGCTTTCTCTCCCCGTACGACTCATCAGGATATCCCTGCTGACCGTAAGGTAATGGTGCACGTGCGCGGGATATCGACTTCCCTGCGTGGCACGGAAAAGAATATACCCGCTGATGGTACGGTCCTGGTGCCGGGGGTATCAAACTGTCTGCCTGGCCAGGATAATAATATCCATGCTCACCGTACGGTACGACTCTGGGAAGTCGCGAACTGTTTGGCTGGCCCTCAAAATGATATCCCTGCGGACCATCTCGTACAGGTGCGGGGGGTCTTGAACTTTGGCTAGCCAGACCAGTCTGTATCTTCCGAGCCTGATCGATCATCGTCTGTCTGTCCCAACGAACGGACGCATTGACACCCCGACTTCTAGTGTGTCAGGTACCAGAACCATCATAATAGTCATCGAACGCCTCGTCGTCGTCCCTGGCAGAAGATTGTCCAGGTCTGCTAACACCTTGAATAAAAAATATAATTAGTAATTTTTTCTTATGTAATAATTATTGTAATAACTATTAAAATAGATTATAATTTATTTTTAATTTAATTTATAAGTTTTATTATTATAATTTATAATTAATTATAATTTATTCAAGTTATTATTATTATAATTTATAATTATTATTATAATTATTACAATTAATTCTAATTTATAATTATAATTATTTCTAATTTATAGTTATTATTATAATTATTATTATAATTATAATTATGATTGTAATTATTTATAATTTTTATTATAATTATTATAATTAATTCTAATTTATAATTATTATTATACTTAATTCTAATTATTATGATGATGATTATTATTATTATTATTATTATTATTATTATTATTATTATTATTATTCTTATTATTATTTATAATTTTTCATTATTATTATTATTATTTTTATAATTCATAATTAATTATATATTATAATAAATAATTATTATTATTGAAAAAAAGTGTACGGCCGGCGGGGCCGGTCCGGTTTGGTCCGTTCGGACCGCGATCGTGCGCGGTTTTTCTGGCGTCCGACTGCCGATCGCGATCGGCTGAGAAGAGTTGAGAGAGTGGCGGACTTCTGACGAGGTTGAGAGAGTTGGTTGTGGCTCAATCATCCCCTCGGTGGTGTTTGGGGCTGAGATATGTGCGGTTCCACTCTCTTCCTTTCTCCCGCTATTCTCTTCGATATGTGCCGCTAATAATGTACAAAATGAATAGACCTTATAATTATATGAAAAAATTATTTCAAAATCACAATTTTTTTATATAAAATATATATCTCGTCTATTGCACGTGCTTATAACTAGTAACTATAAAATTACAAAGCCGCATTTATTGCTCAAGTACAAAATATACCTATCTTTCTTTCTTTTTTTTACCTTGAAAGATAGAAATAGTACTAAAAAAATTAATAATTACAAGGTGATGTCAACTTACATCAATACAAATTGGACAATAACCTTACACTCGCGGACAAATCAGTACCAACAAGTCGCAATGTCTATTGGACAAGATATCGCAAAATCCCGCTTATACACTCTTATATCTATATATACGGGGACAATCTTCTTGACATATGTACATTAAAGAGAGAAAAAAGATACAGAGAGCTAGAAAAAATTAAAAAATCTTGACATATACATTAAAGAGAGAAAAAAGATAGAGAGAGCTAGAAAAATTTAATAAAGAAAGAAAAAATGGGGAAGGAAAGTATAGTAAAAGTTGCAGCGATGGGTATTACAATATTGTTGTTATCCATTTTGCAGGTGACAATGGCGGTGAAGCAAACATACATCGTTCAAATGGCTGGAGACGAACGGCCAAAGAGTTTCCCCGATCACTCGACGTGGTATGTCTCGTCTCTGGCGTCTGTGTCCGAGACAGCCGAGACGAGTTATATTTACGAGAATGTTTTTGATGGCTTCTCCACCATCCTCACTTCCGAGGAGGCTGACCTGATGAAGGGCCTTGAGAGGGTGATATCTGTTATCCCAGAGACAATCCACACGCTCCACACAACCCGGACCCCTCGGTTTCTTGGTCTCGAATCGAGCTCACTCCTTCCGGATCCCCAACTTGTGAGTGAAGTCGTTGTTGGGGTCCTGGACACTGGCGTGTTGCCACAACACCCGAGCTTCAGGGACGAGGGGCAGCTGGGACCCATCCCGAGTAGCTGGAAAGGGGGATGTGAAAGGACAATCGATTTCCCGAAATCCAGCTGTAACAGGAAATTGGTTGGGGCGAGGTCCTTCTCGAAAGGGTACCGATATTATCTCAATTACAGTGGGAATAAGAATGGCGAGCCAATATCCCCACGGGACTACGATGGCCACGGGACCCACACCGCAAGCACTGCTGTCGGGTCCCTTGTCCAAGGCGCCAACCTGCTGGGCTTTGCTAGCGGGACGGCGCAGGGGATGGCATCCACTGCTCGGGTCGCATCATACAAAGTCTGCTGGAACCCGGGTGTTTCAGTTCCGACATACTGGCAGGTATGGACCGTGTCATCAAAGATGGCGTCCACGTGTTGTCGTTGTCCATTGTTGGCGGTCCAACTGATTACGACGAGGATGTGTTCTCACTTGGAGCTTTCGCTGCAACTGATAGAGGCATCCTCGTTTCGTGCGCCGCAGGAAACGATGGCCCCGACCCGTACAGCACGGGAAGCATTGCACCGTGGATAACGAGCGTCGGTGCGGGGACCCTTGACCGCGACTTCCCGGCAGATGTCATGCTCGGGGACAGAACGAGTTACGCCGGCACCTCACTCTACAGCCTTCGAAAGCCACTGTCCGGTGATCTCGTGTACGCTGGATATGTGAGCAACAACGGCAGCAATCTTTGCATTAACGGGACCCTCACCCCAGAGAAAGTTAGAAATAAGATTGTGTTGTGTGACCGCGGGATGAATTTAAGAGTTGAGAAAGGCGCAGTGGTGAAAGAAGCTGGGGGTTTAGGGATGATTTTGGCTAATACTGACAAGGAAGGGGAGGAGCTGGAAGCAGACGCTCACATGATCCCGGCCACGATGGTCGGCGCAAAGTCGGGGCGTGGGATAAGAAGGTATTTGTTGTCCTATAGATCCAATGCCAAGGCCACTTTGTTGCGAGGGATAACTAGGGTGGACGTCAAGCCTTCCCCGGTTGTCGCAGCCTTCAGCTCTAGGGGACCCAACCTTATCACCCCCGAAATCCTAAAACCGGACCTCATTGCGCCCGGGGTGAACATCCTAGCTGAATGGACAGATGCTGATGGTCCCACCAGCTTAGATATCGACAAACGCAAAGTCCAATTCAACATAATCACTGGCACGTCCATGTCGTGCCCCCACGTCAGCGGCCTCGCGGCCCTGCTAAAGGCGGCCCACCCTGAGTGGAGCCCTGCCGCCATTCGTTCGGCTCTCATGACCACGGCTTACTCCAATTACGAGGACGGGAGCCCGTTGCTGGATGAAGCCACCAACAACGCGTCCACCCCATTCGATCATGGTTCCGGGCATGTGTCCCCTATCACCGCCCTCAACCCAGGCCTAGTCTACAACCTAACCACGAACGATTATTTGAACTTTCTCTGTGCAATAAATTATACTTCTTCTAGAATCAAGACCCTTGCAGGGAAAACAACAAAATTCCGTTGCCAGCCCAAAAAATCATACAGCGTCAACGACCTCAATTACCCTTCCTTTGCAGCCACCATTCCCCCATCTGGAAATTGTAAAACAACCGTGGTTTTTAGGAGAACACTCACAAACGTGGGAGAAAATGGGACGACATACCGAGTCTCGATATATTCACCAAGACCGTCAGCCACGATTTCTGTTACTCCTAAAACATTGGTTTTCGGCCAAAAGAACGAAGCAAAGTCTTACAAGTTGACGGTGGTAGCAACCCAGATGTCGCCCGGTACAAACGCGTTCGGCAGAATCGAATGGTCGGATGGGAATAATGTGGTGGGGAGTCCAGTTGTTGTTAGTTGGATCAACGCTACTCAGGATTAATACAGTAGTTTCCTTGTTTACTTACTCTTAACTGTATCGTAATAACTCACATATGTAATAAGGCTACGCCAATAATAATAATAATAA